GGCCTAGTTCAGACTAGGTGGATAAACCCGGCTCAACTCACCGGGCTTATCCACCTGCCAGTCTGAACTAGGTGGCTTATCTCAAGGCCTGGCGTGCCATCGTGTTTAACTTTTATAAGGGGGATCTTGCATTGACTTCGGGTAACAAAATGACCAATCATCATTCAATTACGTACGCTATGAGCTAGCGTATGTTTCGCGAGCAATGTTTTGAAACACGTTTGGTTACGGTTCATTATTATGCACATTCTCGCACCTGGCTAATCCTGCTAGTCTGAACGCCCGGCAAAGTTAAGCTGGGCTTAACATTGAGCCGGGCTTAACTCAAACCCGGCCGGCTTATCTCAAAGTCTGAATGTAGCCATAATGTGATTAATTTACCTATTAATTTGGTGAATATGATGATGTTCAGGGTTCTAATTACCATTCTTTAATATCCAATAATACTGAAGTTATTGACAGAAGCCCTGGCTATTAGGCGCTATAAACCATGTTTAAATACCGGATTAAAAGCATCATGGCTTCTCTTAGTCTTTTTGGAGTCTGCATGATATTATATTAGCCATTATGTGAGCTTTTTGTGTTTTTAGTACATTTTGATGGTAAATTATTGGGTTTTAAAATGCCTATTCCAGAAAGCCTATTCTACACCATTAAGATTATGAAGTCATTCAGACTTAATGAACAGTAACAAACGCCAGAGGGCGCCACCTGGTGCTTTGACGACACGACTGTGGTACTCTATGGGATTACAACCGTTTTTTTGTCAAAAAACTTTCACAGTGTGGACAGAGCTTAAGGCAGGGTCAAACAGTGTCAATTTTTAGTAAAATGGTATCAACACGCAATGTTACTAAACCTATTTAAATTAGGGAGTTTTCGCTGCATGTCGTTAACCTTAACATATGACATCATAATTTATTCATCTTGCGTTGCGGAGTACGTTAATTTCAGGATTTTACATGTTTGACGGACGTTAGTTACAGGTTTGCGCATGCGTATTTCGATTTGTTTACAAAAGGGGCGGAGTTATCACGTTGCATGTTGGGTACTAATGTTAAAATTAAGGTTAACGTTGTGCGGCGAAAACTACCTAATATATCGTCGCTCACATCACAAACTAACACAATCAAAGTAGATTGTGTTAGTTCGTGAAATCACAGTAGCGCGTCAAAACGAGCGCGTATTGGTTGTCAAGCAATTTTGTATTCTTTACCACACAAAAAGTCCTTAACGACAATAGCGCGTATTTTGACACACTTTTTTGATTTCACTAACTAACACAATTGAGTTTAATTGTGTTAGTTCGCGATGTGAGCGACGATATATACCTGTATCTCTAAGAAATTGTTTAATTTGTTTTTTTTTTATTAATTAAAAGGGACCCACTGAGTAAAAGCTTTGCTTGTCATGTTATTCTCTTGTCCATACATTGTAACAGTAAAAGTAGAACAGTAAATCGACTTGTCCTGTTCTACAAACAGTAAATCGACTTGTCCTGTCTAGATGTGTATAAGAGACAGGTCCTATACACTGGCTTTGTTCCTTTCCTGGATGCAACTAAAAATGCTTCCATAGCCTCCGGACCTCGAACAAAGATCTCTATGGGAGCAGCTTCAGAGTCTGGAGCAAAAAATTAAAGTCCTAATATCCAGACTATCAAATTTTATTTGACAAAAACATGTGACATGCCTAAATATGGTCATGATGACATCATATCACAACAATATATAGGCACATCATGACCATATATAGAGTACTACAGTGTTACGCACAATACCATGTGATACTACTCCGTTGCTATCGGCGAAACAAAATGCGTTCAACCGATCTACTGACAAAGCATTGATGGTTTGGTTGGCTCTTTGCCAAACAAAATGCCATAATTGAAGCTTGAGGTTCGTACAGCGCAAGTTGCATCTTGGGAGAGTTCAATATTTTTACCATGAACACTGTGAAATTGCATTGTGATGAATACCTAGCCTCTCACATATTGCCTTTAATCTGTAATTAAAAAATAAAAACATAGCAAACATTTGTTTTGACAATTTTACACATACTCAAGTTGTTGATTGGTGGAGTTGAACTGAGCATAGCCTTAAATTCCCATTCCCACACACACACCCGCCCAAAAATAAAAAAATTTAAAAAAAAGAAAAAAGGAGGGTAAGAAAAGAAAGTTAAAAGAGCGAGCATCCTAGAAAACACATAACGTTCTTATAACATTGTTTGGTATGTTACTGTATGAGCTAGTCCACACCTCAAGCACTTTGAGCGTTATATAAATTGAACTACATTATATTATGTCACAAAATAACTTTCATACAATGTTGTAGGTACGTTCAAGCATTATGACGCTGTAAAATTAGATTATAAAAGTACATAGACCTACTTATGGTTCTACAAAATAATGTTTTTAACACAAAACTGTAACATTATTAATATTGTTAGCTCCGGATGACACTCCAGATCTAAATTCCATGTAGACCAATACCTATGGTAAAGCATTAAAAAAAAAATCGTCGCATGATCCCCTACCCAGGTTTTCCTGTGGATCCACCTCTGAATTTTCAGTATCCCTACATGGGGCATGTCGGAACAATCCATTTCCATTCTCAAGATACCTTTTCAATCTGGGGCAGATCCAGAATTTTCAAAATAGGTGTAGCATTATTTCAATACAACATTGATAGGCCTATGCACTGAAATTTTAAAATTTTGTGGCAAGACGAGGCACGCCCACCCCCCCCCCCCCCCCCCCAAAAAACCCTCTAATGCCCTTTCGCGTCACACCACCAGTGAGTGATACCAGTTCCGGTGAGAACTGACCAAATGCAATAACAAATAGGCCCTAGTTAAAACAACCCCGAAAAGAACCTCACAGAATTTTATAATAAGATAAGGGCAAGCTGCGGCCTTCCATCTCTTCAAGCTTCAAGCATGGGTATTCTCAAGCATAAATAACTCCATGCTTCATTCAAGCAAGAGAGTAGCACTGGGCATCAGGACTTCTTTATCTCATCGAACAATACAATCTTTGTTTCTCATCTCAAAATAAACAAGGCCTAGAATTCGAAAAGACGTCAAAAACGAGATTAGGGTACTTACACAACGTACTTGTACAATCCTAGAATATTTGACGGATTTATGCAGGCTACATGGCGAATTGTTTACTTTTACCATCCGCCTCTTCCACTTCGGCGACACGCAGCGCCATCTTCTTTCTCCTTATTGGTAAGTACAATCTTAACTGTCTCCCCCCGAGACCGATTCTCGTTGAGAGGACAACCGTGACGTCATATGGCAAGTCAATAAGAAGAAACTGAATGATGGCGCCCTGCATTGTGTTTATAATTTCATTTTCATTTATTTGTTTCCAATCCGATAAAATATAAAAGTAACATATAGACCTACTAAGACAAAATTAAAAAAAAACATAGAAAAAAAACACAAATCATAAAAATAACATTTGAAATGTCATAAATATATATATACAAGAAGAATTATTTATTTATTACCTATGCCAAACAAAATTTAGAAAAAAAATTTGCAAAATAGATACTGTACATACGTGTAGTTCTGTATTGTTTTTTTTTTTTTGACAACTCAGACAGGACCCTCTTGTAAATTGTTTGTGATGATATTGAGTATTTTTGGACTACCTTTTTATTATTAATAAGTATATTTTATTAGGTACGGTAAATCTAGAATAGGATTTGTTGTAAAGACTGTTTAATTGTATCCTGATATAAATATATTTGAAATAAATAAAAAAATAAAAATGAAATGGAAAAAAAAAAAAAAGATTTCATTCATGGTACATACATTTACGATACGATACTATAAAAAAATATTCGTTACATTTCAGATGTATATGAGATGTGCTTTCATTGCAAATTAAGAATAG